GATAAACCAAATTGAAATATTTTTTGAATTTTTAGACTAAATGGACAAAATTAAGAACATGCACGCCCAATGAACACAAATAAAAATTAAAGGGATTAGTTTGATTAAATTAGAAACATGGAGGACTGATTTGATAAAACTCAAAACATGAAGGACTGATTTGAAAAGAATTGAGATGCATGGACTAAATTGCTCAATCATGAAAATTTCGGGTGAAATTGAAATGAAGAAAGATAATTTTGACTTTGACCCAGATTAAAGAAAATTAAGGATTTAAATTAATTAATTAGGATGATTAACTTATTAAATGATTAATTAAAATTAATTAAAATTAATTAATCACATTATTAATCTTTAATCAAGATAATTAAGTAATATAATTATCTTAAATTAAAATTAATAAACATGATTAATTTATTTTAATTAAATTTAATTAATTTTATTAATCATAAATTAAGTAAATTATCTTAATTAATTAATATTTTTTTTTACCTTTTTTAGTTTTTATATATATATATTTTTTACTGGATTAAATCGGACTGACCCGACCCAAAAACGTAAACCATCATGCAAAACATATAAGAAACAGATCAAACATCAAATGAAAATGAGATTTTCATGTCATTTCCAGCAAAGACATACATTCATCCAGTGCCTAATCTGAATAATTTTTTTTTTGACATTTTCATTAGTTTTTCAGCAACATACATGGATTTAACATCACATTTAAAAAAAACATCAACAGAGAAGGAAACAAACAAACATGGCGAAAATCTTTGAAGAAAATAGATCAGAATCGGGGGGAGGGATCCCACCCACGGGATCAAGCTCCAATCCTCTCCCTCACTGCTTTTCCCAAAAACCTTCTCTGATGCAGGAAAATACCTAAGATGAAAACCCAGAAAATGCACAATCTTCGGGAAGCTCAGCGATCCTCCTCTTCTTACTACCGCTTCCAGCAATACCCCAAACTCAGACAAAGAAATCCCCAAAATCAAACTCCAAAATCAATCTACCACAGACCCTTCCTCTAAATCAAACTTCAAAAACTCTCCAACCAACCCCCCCTCCTTCTGATTTTTTTCCATATATATATACCCAAATAACAAAAAAATAAATAAAAAGACTTGCTCCTGTCAATCAGTAATGATGAAGATTTCAACTGGCATGTACTGTAGCGAGCAGGAGTGCAGGCGCGGTGCAGTAGCAGGATCAAGCGTGCAAGCAACAGGGGCGTGATTGCAGGATCAGGCGCATAGAGGGGAGAGTGCAGGCTTAGGCACGCAGAGGCCAGGGGTGTGACGCAGCGTGCAGGAACTGGTACAGAGCAAGGCTGGTGTTGGAAGAAAGGCTGGGTGCAGGAGCTAGGGGGCGCGGTAGAGTGCAGGCTGGGGTGCAGCAGGGCAGCGGAGGGGGGATCTGGGCGCAGAGGCGAAGGGATCTGGTCCAGGGGAAGGCTGGCGCGGTAGGGGCATGATGGCTCGGGCCTAGGCGGTTGTAGGCGGCAAGGACGTGGTGCAGTAGCAGGGCAGGCTCGGGTGTGAGGCGCAGCAAGCAGGGGCATAGGCAACAGGGGGCTGGTTCGGGAAAAAAAAAATACAAATTGATGGGGAAAGAGAAGGTTCCAGACACCTTCTTCTCTCTTTTTTTTTTTGTTTTTCGGTTTGGGTTTTTTTGGGTAATTTTGGTTTGGGTTTGGGTTTATAAATTCATTTTGATGAACTTCACCCCTTCAACTTTTAATTTCTTCAATTGAGTCCCTTCTTTCTTCTTCTTGAATTTTCCAATTTCTTTTTGCATGTAACACCTGAAACAAAATAAAGATATATTCGTCAAAGAAAAGGGAAATTTTCATATTTTTATATTTTTTATTTTTCCTTCCTTTTTTTTTTTTTTGAATGAAAATTTGAGTTATGACACGCTTCTATACTGTGGATTCCCGTCAGAAATATACAGATTGATACCGGTCTGAATATGTTCATTAGTATATTTTGTGCCACCTGAATATATTCGGACCGATATTGGTTTGAATATTTATTTTTTCAGACCGACACTATTCGGTCCGTATACGTCATTTTTCTAGTAGTGGTTCAAACTTATTGATGTGGCAACCCATCCCATATGTCATAATAGATCGATGCTCCTACATAGTACAAAAAGACTAACCTTATGAGGTTAGAGGAAATAGCATTCTTTGGGCAAAGTTGAAAAGTTTAGAGTGTGCAAGCAGAGGAAACTAATGTTTAACAAGAGACTACAATGTGGTTAAGTCACACCTACAACGAGTTAAAGGAAATGTAAACACGATAGAAATAAGGGAATTTAAGGAGTCTATCACAATGGTGGGACTAATTGATTTACTTATAATTGGAAGAAAATATACTTGGTATCATTTGAATGGCACTGTGATGAGTAAGTTGCATAAATACTTAGTTGCAAAATTGGGAAAATATTAAACAAAGGCCTTAAAGAGGTTAGTATCAAACCATTGCCTAATTTTATTGAAATATCAAGAGGTAGATTAGGGACCCAAGCCCTTCAAATTCTTCTATGCATGGTTGGAGTGCCTCAGATTCAAGGAGTTAGCTGAGAAAACAATATCATCAAAAAGAAGGAATGGAAATGATATTGCTTAAAAGAGAAGCTCAAAGCGCTTAAAGAGGCATTAAGAAAATGAGAGCAAGAACTATGCTTTAGAAGTAGAGGAGGAAATTGTTAGAGTGTGCCCTTGAGCCAACTCTATTTATACTTGTGATTATGATCATATATAAGGCATTCATTTATCATATATTAATTGTTATTCTCTTGTTTATATTAATATCAATAAAGTCCTTATAATATCTATTACATTAGAAGGTAATCGCAGTCGTTGCTATTAGTAAGAATTATATGATGCAATAATAGCATTTTTATATTTTCCATTAGTCATATATTTCATTGAGATGGGACATCAATGATGTAAATACTATTATGTGTGATGCTTTGCTAGCTAGCAAGACTTCTTGTCACAAAGTCGTGCATTACATGTGGGTGATTCAAAGCAAGTGAGAGCACTAAACTAACCCATAATGAGAGCTCTACATGCAAGTGTCATTAAAAGCTTCTCAATTAAAATGCGAGTGCAAGTGATTCTTTGACTAGAGATCATCATTAGTCTATGTGAGGACTTGTGTACTTTGATGCTATTTAAAAACAACCACTATACAGGATTGCGAGTAATATAGTTATTGGGTGCATCACAAATTGCATAAGAGTAATAAATGAGTTAAGATAGAATTTGTCCCTCTTAAGTTTGTGAAAAAGGATATCTCTAACCCTTTGATTTAGATAAGACAACTTATAACTCGATGACCATGGCATGAATCCAAGAAGTATGTCCACCTTAGGAATCAAAGATAATGTATCAAGCTTTAAGGATGATAACAAACAACATGCAATTTACTTTATAGAAATATCAATGATGAAGGGATAGAATTACACAAGTGCATTAGCCATAGGAAGAGCCCTCAACACTATTGACAATTTCTATCACATTGGGTGGCCATGATGTATTACTAGATATTGCACTTAGTCTATGAGTGTTTCTCATTGCCATCCTCATTAATTCATTGAAGGTTAAGAAAGGTTTAATTACCAATACCTCAAAAAAATGTGTTTGTTTGATGCATAACTTTGATTCATTGCAAAAAGCTTAAAGTCCAAGGGTAGAATTCCTTTAATAGTACTCCACACATAGGCTTTAGGAATTAAGAGAAGACTTAAGTATCACAAATGATAGTTATGGAAAAACCATAGTTTTTTTTTTTTTTTTTTTGGCAAAATTTTTGTAGCTTAAATTCTACAATGAATCATCTAAGAAAAAATAACTCTTTTACTCCTATTTGTACTAATAGTAGTTATGAAGACAATAGTAATTCTAATCCAATTAGAATTACATGAACTTAGACTACAAGTCAAGGAAGGAGAATGCTTTCCTTTCTTTTTCTTTTTTTTTCCTCTCCTTGATGCACATTAAGTCCTTATTAGACTAGGCGTGGTGCCTAGGGTTATCTTGCCCTAGGTGTTGACCAAGCCCTAGCCTAAGATAGGCTAGGGCTTTCAACCTTCTCGTCAAACAATTGAATCATTTTCAATCATTTTGTGAAATTTCTTATTATAATATTATTATTTGGTGTCATACAAAAATACATTGAAAATCTCGAATATGTTAGCAAAATCTTAATCCATTAAAAATTTTATTGTTTAATATCTAATGTAGAATGCACTAAATGAGAGTTTTAATTTTAGTTGTCGTTATTTTCTTGACTAGTTTGATTATATACTAGAGAGATAGATATTTTTCCAAATTAATTAACAAAATGGTTTTTGTTATTATAAAATATAATGATTTTTTGTGAAATGTATTATTCAATCTTACATTTGTTGGAAAGACAACTTTTTTTTTAACAGATGTAAATTCTAACATTTTATTCAAGTGTATCTTATCCTTCAAAATAAGATCCTCGGTAGTGATTTATTGGTATAAGTTTTACTGTACCAAAAAAATGTAATTAGATAATTGTAATACAAAATCTACTATATTTTCAAAGAAAATGATAATAGAGTAGGCATGTTTGTATTTCATACGTAATATTTTTAGTGTTTTATTTAGAACTTCAATGTGTGTAGTAGATTTCTTAATTGTACAATTGAATAAATAATGTAATGATTGATAAGCATTATAAGTGTTTGTTGTGGTGAGATTTTCTTCCATTGTATTTGATAGTACTAAAAAAAATGAAAATATAGAAAAAGTTAGTTATAATAAAAAATATAAACAATCAACACAAAATAACCATTCATTTCTTTTCAAGTTGTTGTAATTTCCAAGTTCTTTTGTTTAGAGATTATAATGTTTGCATGTCTATAATTTATAGAGGTAGTAATTTATAGGTTCTGAAGAATTTAGGGTGCTTATGCTTTCTTTTAGATAGTTAGTCATATTCATTTAAAAAATGGATAAGAATTGACAAGAGTCAATGAATAAAGTAAACGAATTGATAATCGAAATTTATTTATAGAATATAATAAAACAACTTTGAAAATTTTGACTAACGTAAATATTTTTTTAATTTTTAATATATCTTACTATTAATATTAATAATAGTGTTCTATTATTTATTTATCCATTAATATACATGACACATAATATAGGAAATCAATAATAGTGAGAGTTCATAGTCTTATGTTTTTGCAATTTCAAGAATAGTCTATACACTTTTATTACCTTCCTTCCTTCCTTTTACATTTTCCAAGGTTTAGAGTATTCAATTTTGTTTAGTTGATAGGCAAGCTTGGCTTTATTCACCATCATTTCAATGCAATATAACTCTGTTGACGACCACTTAAAAGGGATTAAGTGTAAAAATATAAAAAGAAAAGAGAGTCGCTACTCATTCAAATTATAATGTGGGACAGGTTACCTAAAAATAAGTCTGCGTAGAGATCAAGGTTCGAGAGTTTGGTTAGGAGAAATGAAGAGCATACGTGCACCTCACAATCTTCCGTTTAAATACGGTTGCATACTTTAACATTGGGGGTTTTAATTTAACTTATTCATTATATTTGTATTCAAGTCTTAATAAGTAAGCTAAAAAAAAAAAAAAAACCAAATTGAAACATTTTTTAAGTTTTTGGACTAAAATAGACAAATTCGAGAACATGCATGCGAGATGAGCATAAATAAAAAGTTAAAAGGACTAATTTGATTAAATTCGAAGCATGGAGGATTGATTTCATTAAATTCAAAACATAGAGGACTGATTTGAAAAGAGTTGAAATATGTGGACTAAATTGTTTAATTATAAAAGTTTTGGGTAAAATTGAAATGAGAAAAGATAATTAACAGAAATTAAGGATTTAAATTAATTAATAAGATAATTAACTTAATTAAATAATTAATTTAACATTAATTAAAATTAATTAATCACATTATCAATCTTTTATCAAAATAAATGATATAATTATCTTAAATTAAGATCACTGATTAATTTATTTTAATTAAAATTAATTAATATTACTAATCATCCATTAAGTCAATTATCTTAATTAATTAATTTGTTTTATTTATATTATATTTTTTTTTACTGGGTTTGATCGACCCGAAACGAAAAACACAACCCGAACATAAAATAACCAAAAAAACAGATCAAACATGCAAACAGCAACATAGCAAACTAGGGTTTATCATGAATACATCTCATTTCCAGCGAAAAGATGAACAGATTCATCAGGAATATCTATGATCTTTCATTCATTTCTCAACAAAACATATACAATCTTAAACTGAAGACTAAATGAAAAATACAGAAAGAGAAATCAGCAAACAAAGCAACACCCACGGCAGAGTTTTCTGAGGAAAATAGATCCATATCTGATGTGAGGGATCCCACCCACGAGACCAGGATCCCATCGTCCCCTTCACCACCGTTCCCACAAAAACTCCTCTGTTAAGAAAATTTCCTACAAAATAGACCAAAATCTTCTCCCGAATCACCGACTCCTTCTAGCCAAATTCCTCTCCTTTTCTGCCGCCGTTCTCCACACCCAAAACCAAAACCGAGACCTCTCCTTTTCTAACCTAAAACCCTCTATTTATACCCAAATAAAGAAACCCTAAAAGGAACATTCCAGAAATCAACTCTTCGGGCCTTTTAGATCCACAATTTTTGGGCCTTTCAAATCGGTTTCTTCTTTACCAAAATCTGCAACATGCAATTTGGGCCTCTTCGATCTTTACCCTTTTGGCCACTCGTGATCCATAGCTGGCATAGATTTGCAAATCTAGTCCAGCCGCAGGGATATCGAAATCTCGCCGAGTCGCCGGAGCTTCGCGTGAACGTCACCTCCATCACCAATCAACAGATCCAGCTTCAATTACCCCTGTTCCGCTGTTCACTCGCCGGCATGGTGGGTGCTTGGCTGTAGAAATAGCTCGGAAGGTGGGTTTGACATTGAAGGGAGTTGGAGATGATGAGATCAGAAGGTATGGAACCGAAGAAGGGGAAGAGGATCGCCGGCTTCCTTTTTGAGAGATGGCTGCCGGTTGCTCTGCAATAGGAAGACGAGGGTGAAATCGAGGGCTGCATGAGGAAGAGAAGGAAACCGAGGGAAGAGGCAGAAGCCAGGGGTCGCATGGAAGGGGAAGAGAAAACCCAAGAATTTTTGGGCATGGAAAAGGAGTTCAATTGCCAGCGGGTTTGGAGAAGTGAGGTGGTTGCCGACTGTGACGAAGGAGGGAGGTGGTTGCCGGCTGTGGTGATGATGAAATCGATAAGATGATGGTGGTGATGGTGATCGGAGAAGGAGGAAAAAGATGGCTACTGGCTGAGAAGGAAGCAGGTTGGTTCGGGAGGGAGAGAACTAAAGATTGATGAGGAAGAAGAAGAAGGTTCCAAACACCTTCTTTCTTTTCATTTTTTTTTTTTTGGGTTTTGGATTTTTGGGTTTGTGGGTTTTTTGGGCTTAGGTCCTTGGGTTTTGGGTTTGGCTTTTTGGGTTTTGATTTTGGTTTAAACTTTAATGCATTTCTCCCTTCAACTTTTCATTTCCTCAATTGGGTCCCTCATCTTAATTTCCTTCATCTTCTTTTCCAATCTTCTTCACAAAATCCCACCTTTGCTCATGAACCTAGCAAGAAAAACAAAGACAAAACATATTAGTTAAAATAAAATAAGACTAAAAATAAAAATAACAATAAAATTTTATTAAAAATTTGAGTTATAACAAACTCATAGAGTTGATACTTTTTCGCTCTTTAACTTTAATTATAATAATCCCCACTTAGTTTTTTTTTTTTTTTTCCGCTAACTCCATCAACTTCTTATGGACTAAATTTTATTTTTTATGGCTTTCTACTAAATTATCATTTAATACTAATATTTACAATACTAAAGGGGAAAATAAATGATTGTTAATTTTTAAAATATCAAATATTCATAAACTGTCATAGAACTGTTAGGAATATAAGAAATGGCTCTTAATCCACTAAAAACTTAATTAAATAAAAAATAGATGCAAATTATCTAACATTTGAAAGTACAATAACTTCACATGATAAGTTTAGAAGTTCAATAGTGATCTTGAATTTTCAAATATATTCTTTTATTTTTTTGATAAAGAATTTAGCAATTTGTTTTCTTATGCACTCAGTGTCAATGTCTTTATCCACATTTTCTTTCACAATAAAACTAACATCATTGCTTTCTTCTACAATAATTTCTTCCCACTCATCTTTTATAGGAGTGCTCATATTTTCCTTCATCATTTTCATCGGTAGTTCTACTATCGTGATTAAACAATCCTTTAAATCACTTAAAAAAAAAAAAACAACAACAAAAAGAAGAATGTTAAGCCAAAATATGAATGAAAGTGAATATAGTAAATTCAAGGAGTTCAAATGGAGAGAAAAAGCATTATGTTAATTTAATTTCTTTGTCTATAGGAAGATAATCAAACATTGGTGATGCTAGGTGGTGAAGGAGATCTCCTTCTTTTGCGACTCATAACAAACATTGTAGTAAGATTTTCAATGTTATGGTGCTTACCATTTTTGTCGCTTTTTGAACTCATTTATGTTAACTTCTCTAAAGCAAAATTCTATCGTTTGTGTTTAGATTTACATAGGTTAGGAATGCATAGTAGTTATCATTTAAAACAGAATAAGATAATATTATTTTTGAGTCACACATATACCTCATTAAATAATTTAATTTTAATGTGATTTAGTATTAACTCCAAAACTTTTAGAAATAGTTTTTGTTAGTTTTAGCTCAATTTTGCATATGGATTAATTTGTTTGCAGTGTTTTTTATATATTTTATCTACTTTATTAGTCTTTTGACTAAGTTTCTCAAGATGAATAAGTTGCTACATGAGTTTAATTCCATTTGATTTCTTAACTTGTGTTTTCAAAGATTGTAGAGCAAAGATGGTATTTTTCCTTCTATTTCCCTTGTCTTTTATCTACCAATTGTTGTATTTATTTATTATTATTATTAATTTCTGATAGTTATTTTATTCTTTACTTTAGTTTTTTATTAATGGTTTTACAGAGTATTCCAAAAGAAATCTATAATAAACTTCTTAATAATAAGCCAACTATTTCTCTTCATGGTGTTTGCAGTACTAAATGAGAAGTAATTGTTTATAAAACTAGCTTTGGCAATGGATCAACTACATTTGTAATAGATAATCATATTGTAGATAATGACACTGTTGGTTTTTAGATGTTGGAGATAGTATTTTTCAGTTTATATTTTTAATGACAGGTTTAACTTTTCATTCATTATTTTCTAATAATGGTTTCATTTCAATTTCTAGAATTAAAGGGAGATATACGCTAATGGTAAGTGTAATACCCCAAATTTTTGGGAATTTTAGCATTAAATTAAGGACTTGATTGTGAGAAAAGATTGTTTTGGGGCCTAATGTGAATATTCTGAAAGTTGAGGAACTTAAAGAGGGAAAGATTTTGGATAAGGATGACTTCTTTTCTTTTCTTTTCTCCTCTTTCTTTCTTTCTCTTCTTCTTCCCCGCGTGTTCTGCTCCGTCTTCCCGCTGCAGCCGCCCGAAGAAAAAAAAAAGGGGAACCCAGCCATGCTCGAGAAACTAGTGAGAAAGCTTGGATTTCTCCTTCTTTTCTTGCTCTACAACACATGTAGAACCCAGAAATTCTTTCCCCCTGCTGGAAAACCCGGATCTGCTCTGTCCTTCCTCTCTTGTCCGCCGGCTGCTCCTGCTTTATGGGGGCGAATTGCTTTGAATTTTCGGTAAGAACAGCCCCTAATTTCCTTTGTTCTTGCTTGAATTGGCTTGGGTTAACTTTGATTGCTCTTATTTCCTTCAATTTTGGGTAGATCCGTGAGTTTCTCCCTTGCACTGCCGCCGGCTTCTTCCCCCTGCTAGGTCCGGTTTCTACAGCTGGAGAATTATGGTATGTGGCAGCTTCTCTAAGTGCAAGTTTAGCCATTTAATTGCTGCCCTTTGTGTCCGAAATTCTGGATTAATTAGGGGAGAAAATTGATAGTAATTAGACCATGATTTAGCTTGATTCAAGTGAATTTATGTGATTGAGTGTTAATTGACTGCTGTGTGATTTTATGCTATTAGTGACCCTGCTAGTGGGGAGTTTATAAACGCTAGCATATGTCGGCACATTTCGATATGTTTCTGTAATCCTACTAGTGGGAGTTAAACGCTAGCACATGTCGGCACATGTCGATATGTTATTCGTGACCCTGCTTGTGGGGGTTATACACCAGCAAACAGTGACCCTGCTTGTGGGGATTATACACCAGCAAACAGTGACCCTGCTTGTGGGGATTATACACCAGCAAACAGTGTGCCTGCCAGTGGGTGTTAGACGCTGGCCGTGACCTATAGAGGAGACGTCTATTTCGTTCCCGTACTGTATCCGTTTTGCGTGATTGCACATGTTGGCATGCTATAAGTTTAATTAAGGGTAATCCATATTTACTTACTGAGTTTATCTCATAGTTTTCCTTGTCCACCATTTCAGGAAGTGAAACCGAGGACGGGGAAACCACGGGAAGTGACGAGTTAGAAAGCTAGCCATTTCAAGATTGATATAAATTTTAGAAATAAATCATGATCTTGTATTTGGAGATTTTATGATATTAGAGAGAATTTTATAATTTGATCTTCAGATTTTGGTGGCATCAGAGTGTGATATAATAAGTTCCGAGCCTTGTGCACTTGTGGGACTCGTCTCACGAGTGTACGGCGTCTGTCCTGCCTCGGATTTGGGTTCTGGGCCGTGACAGTAAGATAAGAAGTAATTACGTATTCCTTAGATTTGCAACTAAAACTATTCTTTTAGTTGAATTTTAGGCACTTTGTTCAATAGCTTATATTTGTTAAGTTATATACATTTTATTAAATATCAAAGGTAATGATAATGAGGTGGTGACTTGATTGAGATGCTCTTAGTTCAATTTTTTTTTTTCCTTTTTGTCTTAAAATATAGAACCATTGAATAGATTTAATCAATTTTTTTTTTTTTTTTGTAGGTGCTCTCATTGAAGTATAAGAACTAGTGTTAAGAAAATTAGTTTGTTGTCAAGTTTTAATATTTATTTTTTAGTTCTACATTTATAGAGGTTTCTTGCTATTAAGCTCTATTTCTACCAAATATCATTTGTGCTTAGGTGTTTTAATTAAAATAGGCTTTGTTTTAGGTTTGGTTTGGAAACATAATCATGTTAATTATTTTTAAAAAAACTTATTGTTGTATTATTTAAATATATGTTCTCTGTATAAGTAATGAAATAAGTTTTGTCATTAATTCATTATTCATAATATTATTAATAAAGACTATTGTGGCAGAAGTACACTTGATAATAAGTTTAAAGCAAATGATTAAGTTGTGCTAAATGCAAATATTGTCCTTAGTCTACACTTTATAATAGTAACCATAATGGATCAACTTTTATGGAGAGGCTATTAGAATCCTTGTATTTTTATATTAAATTATTTAGTTATTTGGAACCAACCGTCTCAAGAGCATCCTTTTAAGGGAGTAAAAGTAGAGAAATGTTGTTCAAATAGGAAATAAAGAATTTAATTGCATGCAAGGGAGAAGGGAAGGAGAGACATGGAAAACTTTGAAAAATGGATTCAAAGGCTTGATTTGGTTGGCTCTGGAAATGTGCCTTTGAGTTACTATGGTATGTTGCAGGCAAAGAAATTGCTCCAATGTTATGGCTTTGATGGTTATAAAATGAAGAGAATGGATGCATGGTAATTTGTTGGCATGATTGGCCCTATTTTCAGTTTTAGCCTAAACAAGTAAAAAGTGAACTATACCCAAAAAAAAAGAAAAAAAAGAAAAAGAAAAATAGTTGCCTTGTATTTGAGTTCTTTCTTTTCTTCTGATGTGAAGTTTGTAAGGTTTTTGACATGGTTAGAATGAGAACAAGGCCCACCCCCTTTTGCTTTTAATTAAATTTGTATTATTTTTCCTTGTTCTTTGGGGTAGTTTTTTTAATTTCTTTTTTCTTTTTAATCTAAATGAAATTCAATCTTGAGCTTTCATATGTATTAGTTAAAACTCATGTTTTGAGTGTGTTGTACAGTTTCATACTTTCATCTCCTTGTTTTAACTTCTCTAAAGTTGCATTGCTGAAAAACTGAAATCAAAGACTACAAGTTTGATGCATCTTTTATTTATTAAAGAAAAGAAAACTTGTTATATTTTAATAAAATACTTTATATACTCAAAGATGTAACTTTATAGCATCAAGATAATTAATCATGGAAGACAAGTTTGCTATTATATTAAGTTTTACAAAGACAACAATTTTATAATTACATACTCAAAGATGTCAATGGAAGTACAAAAAGATGGCTAACTTTAATTTTTCATTTACTAATTATTACTCTCTTTTTATTTTAGTCTAAAAAATTTAGTTTCTTTCAAAATTATTTATAAACTTTGAAAATTATTTCAAATTCATCTACCTAAAATACTGTCATTAGCTTTTTTAACGGAATCCCATGGCATGCGTACGTCACACCAATTATGTGGCACATGTAATTTTGAAAAATTACACTTTAACTCCAAAAACTTTATAAAATTTTTAATTAAATTTTATATTCAAATTATTCTACTTTCTCAGCAAGAATTTTTCTTTATTTTTTTTATTTTTAATTTTTTAATAAATTTAAATGTTTTAATTTTGATTAACAACTAAAAATTCATCATTGTCATTATTAGGATAAAATTATTTTTTTTATTTAGTTCAAAAAATTAATTTTATTTGTATTATCTCTTTCTAAAAATAACTTCTGTTTTTTTCAAATAAAGAATTTGAGGATAATTTATGTTTACCTATATTACCCTTAAAAAGAAATCAAAGATGAAGAGAAACATTTTGTAATGGAATGATTAATTAAAGTAAATAGATAATACTAAGATTAAAGTAAAAAATATATTTGTTTACCTTGAAAAATAAAAAAAATAATTAATTTGAGACAAGTTTGAAATTATAGAGTGACAATTATTTTGGAACAAATGGAATAAAGTTAAAATGTACTCCTCACATCCTAGAATAATAAGCATTTTTTTTTTTAGAATTTATCTTAAAATAATAGTGATTTTTTTTTATATTTTAAAGGAAATAAATTTTTTATTTCTACTTTAATTTTATGATTATATCTTAATTTTAATA